GACCTGGCTTAAAATAAGAAAAAGATATTAAGTGTTTCCCTTATAACCAAATCTCAATGTTATTTCTTGTTATAACTACAGAATTTTGCTTTTGAGTTTTCTATAACGAAATGAAACCTATAGGCAAGAATCTTGAAATTTTGATTAGAAAAATGCTTGGAGAAGTCACAAAAAGAATGAAAAAGTTAAAAATTGACAACATCAAGACCTTTTTGTGTAAATCAAGCTGTAGTTTAATCTAATTTTTATCCATAAGGGTCTGAGATATGAATTTTTTTTAACAAATGGTACTACCATTAATATGTATATTTCATCTACATAGTGAAATATATGAATTTTTATTAAAAAATATTAAATATAATTTAATAAAATAAGTAATTTACTATTAAAAAATCTATCTTAATTAAATTATGAATTATAATATTTAAATGTATTTTACTAAATTAAAGTATGATAATATTATTTAAGAATTTTAATAAAAAATAAGTGTATAAAATTAAAAAAAAATAAAAATCGGTACGCTCCCATACATAATTTGAACTGATGGTGTTGAAACAATTTTGAATCATTCACGACTACAAGATTGGTGTATGAGTCATTCAATTAACAGCATTAGTTAATTAAATTTAATTAGACTCCCAAATTCTCAAAAGGTTATGAAGAGATAACACTCGTGATATTTATTATTAGACAAAATTCTTTTATGAAGGTCTTCTTGATTTAAAAATGTAATGTATTTCTACGCATGAAACTACATTAGAAGTGTAAAACTACATACAAAATTTATGTATTTCAAGAACCCTTATTATAAGAGTTGAGTTAATTTTAGCAGAACGGCCGTCATACCCTCAGTGCATTTCTTAATTTTTGCAACCATGCATGGAGATCCTAAAGAATCTAGCTACAATACCATTGTATATCTAATGTCCTAAAAACTAAATTTAACATTTAACCAAATTTTTAGCTTAAGAATCATTTTTTTTTTTACACCAAACACTTCTGATTTATTATTAACAATTTATTCAATTAATAAGAAATACTTTACCGAATAATTTCAAACTTATTATTATTATTTTTTTTTATAAACGTATAAACTTTGTAGACTTATAAATCAACATAGAATAACTTTGACAAAACCGCGTTATACACGATATAGATTTAAACCTAAGTTGGGTTTGCATGATTGATTCAAAGACAACAATCTTGACATCATGGATGAATGCGAAAGAGACAGGAAGCACTCAAAAGAGGAAAAAAAAAAAAAGCAAAGGTAAAATAACATGGAGTTGGTATGTTTAGAATTTGGAATTTTCTATGTGGGTTATAGTTTGTCAAAATCTATTTGGTTTTTTCTTCTTTTTTTTTCTCTGTTTAAGCATCTTTTGTCCTTTTGAAGGAGCTTATTAGTCCATATCCATGCATCATGTTAAAAAAAAAAAACCTATTTTAATATCACAAAAGTTTAACTTAATATAAAATGATTCAATCAAATAATTATATTTTGTCGTATCATTTTACGCATAATTGCAACAAAATAAATAGTAATTGAGTGAATAATAACAACGAGAATTTCAATAATCATTGCAGAGGGCTAATTTAAACAATTCCTAATTTTAATCGTAATTAAAATTTGAAAGATTAGTTAGCCGACAAGGATGGTGCTCCAAAAAAGCTAATAACAAAATAAGGAATCACCTAATTAACCTACTACGAGATATGTTTGATGATATGTTGAACAATACACAATATTGAAAGAGGGTATTACCATTGAATTGAAAGGGTGATTAGATTTATTCACAAAGAAGAATAGTCACCATGCACAACATTGAAAATTCTAATCTACTTAAATCTTAATGCATGTAAATATACTGAATGTAGATTTACAAATATATTTTACACTAATAAATTCGCTCCAAAAATATCCTAAAATGAACCCATTCACGTAATTTACTTGCTGTGTACATGGAAAAATTTACTTGTTAGATAATCTAAACACACATAAAATAATTTTATAAAAGATGGTATAAATAATATTTTGAAATTTTTAAGTTTTGTCAATATACATATATATATAAAAAATGTAATAATTTGATGGGATATTTCAGTATGATATTAAAAATTCAACCAGAGTAAAAGAATAAGTTAATCTTTATGTGTCAAATAAAGTTAATGTTTTATACGACACATAAATGTATTTACTCGCCAATTTCACCAATGACCAAATTAATTAAACCAAACCAAAGAAAAAGAAAAGGCGAAAGAAATCTCACTAGAAAAACAAAAGAATCATGAAGGATCTTTCTAGTAGGTGCATTTGAATTGAAAAAAAAAAAAAAACACATAATTCCCATTAAGAACTATATAATCTTATAAGTTGGTAATTAGGTATAATTAACATGAATTAATTAAGCTTATGCTAATTGATTGGTCGCGGGGAACATCATCAAAACACTGTACAGATGGGGGGGGGGGGTACCAAAAGAACACTATGACAAGTTAATTCACCAAAAAGATCATCTGTTTATATATCTATCCAAACGATACTTTGTATAACCATTAAATCAAAGAATTTGGTGGGCAGAATACGAAGAGAAAATTGTTCATGTAATACAAAATTTGTTAGTAAATCTCCCCTAATGTTTCTTCCTCAAAATTTTAGGTGAAGTGGCCCATCGTGTAACCATTACGTTTAATTTTTCATTAAATTATCAGTTTGTCAACTTGTTTATGGAATTACGTGAATGAGGAGTGATTATTCTTTTCTTATTGAATTTAATTTCTGAGAGAAAATTTTCCAGACGACGCCCAGATTCTCCATTAATATAATTTGTTTTCACACACATATATATGGACATCAATTACGTAACCTTCTAGGGTTTATCTATCTCCCAACAAAAAAAAAAAAAAAGAAACCTTCTTTTTCCGGATGATATATATATATATATATATATATATGTATATATCAGCAATTTTCCAGATTGATATGAGCCTAGTGCCTTCTATGATCTGTGTGTGTGTGTGTAGATGTACATATATATATATACATCTACCGCCTACAACATGATATTAAATGAAGAACATCCGGATGGTGTTTTGATTTACTACAAGTCATCTAATTATAAATGCTTATTGTGAGAATTTAGCCGGTAATTTAGTTCATCATAGATTAATGACGATAATTAGTTATAATTATTTACTGAATATTTATTTATTTTTAAAGAAAATTTAGTGAATTATATATAATAAGAGAACAAAGAAATCCTTTAAATGCATTCCGAGTTATATCATATGCATTGCAACAGATTATAATTAGTGGTGTTAGATTATAAACGTGTATATATTTATGTGTATAGTTGTTAATTAATTTGTTCTGTAAAAAGCTCGAATTATTAATTAATTGAAAAAAATTGATAATTAATTAATTAATTAAGATTAAGCTATAGAAAGAATATAATGTGGACCCCAAAAGACGGCAAATGAATAGTAAAAGACAAACTTGTCAACTCGAGTACTCATTTTACTACAAATGTGTATGTATGTGTGTGTGTATATATATATATATATATATATATACTACTATACACCAGATCTTTTCTTTTTGGATTTCCTTAAACTGCTAGAACATGGGTGAAAATTTATTAATAATATATGTAAGTTAATATAGACGATATAGATATGTCTGAAAAAAAAAATATCGATTACACAGATATATTGTACGAATTAATATATAAAAATCGGGATCAGTATAAGGACAATATGTAGTACACATTCAATGATAACGAGAGAGTAATATGTGTATAAATATATATATATATATATATGTGTGTGTGTATTGTATATATATATATATATGTATAAAGAGGGGACCATGAGAAATGGTTGACCATATAGAGTTGATCGTACCACGTAAAAAATAATATTTTCTAATGACGCGCTTTCATTTCATTGATTTTGCATGATAACGTTAATATATCATCCATGCATTCCACATTTTCAACTGGTGTAAAATTATTATTGGTTTTG